TCATTTACTACTTCTAGTGTCACCATGGGTATAGGAAACCACTGTTTTCTTCCAAAGCTGCTCTGCATTATTTAGTTTCCTGCATATTGGTTTTCGCACCTGCAGTCCTGCTTTGCCTGTCTAATTCTGTAATTATAATTTGCAATAGTTTCCCCGAGTTACTCAACCGGGCAACTTCATAAGTATAGAAATATATAAACATAGCAAAATACATAGTTTTTTCTGTGTTCGAAGTATTCGACGAAGGAAAGGTATTACAAAGCACATGTTACCTGTGGGCTAAAAAATTATCACAGTGACATCCACAATGGGGCCGCACTGTGTGGAATTTAAATATTGAAAGTCTTTGGCACATACAGCATCAAAGCTACAAAGCTAGCATAAATGAGAAAACTGGGTTCACATAAGCAGATGTAATGTTTGCTTAGTACAAAACTTTCTGGATAAAAACAAACTTCTCACACCCTTACATTCTACCATGATATGACACATGGCAACGTTTCCAAGTAACCTATAAAAACATTTGTCAGAAAAAGAACGGAAGCCTACATAACAATGGATGTCTTTCCACACCATGCTTCCGCTACAGCAGGTGTTCTCGCCAGCCTCTCAATCAAAGTCACATCTTCTATAGGTCCTTTATGCCATGCTTTAGCACACTTTCACAGGTGCACTTGACTGCTCAGAAACGTCCCTAACCTCACTCAAACAACTATCCTCATTTATTGCTTTGCAATGTGTTTTATTCTGACTGATGGATAGATATGTGGAGTTTAACGTCCCAAAACCACCATATGATTATGAGAGATGCCGTAGTAAAGGGCTCTACAAATTTCGACCACCTGGGGTTCTTTAACGTGCACCCAAATCTGAGCACACGGGCCTACAACATTTCCGCCTCCATCGGAAATGCAGCCACCACAGCGGGGATTCGATCCCGCGACCTGCGGATCAGCAGCAGAGTACTTTAGCCACTAGACCACCACAGCGGGGCATTCTGACTGACTAATAGATTGATGTGGGGTTTAACGTACCAAAACTACCATATGATTATGAGAGACACCGTAGTGTAGGGCTACGAAAATTTCAGTCAACTAGGGTTCTTTAACGTGCACCCAAATCTGAGCACACAGGCCTACAGCATTTTCGCCTCCAAAAATGCAGCCGCCGCAGCCGGGATTCGATCCCGCGACCTGCGGGTCCGTAGCAGAGTACCTTAGCCACTAGACCACCGCGGTGGGGCGGTTATTCTGACTGAAAGGCACCTTATTCTTTCAAGAAATAATTTTCAACAACGATTTCAAGGTTCAAGCACGCGTTTGTGTGAGTGTGTACGTGTGTCTGCACACGTGTTCTTCCTCTTAAGGCTAGGGTTCAGCCTTTGCAGGGCTCAATTATTATTCAGTATTCAAGACACTCTTTTGCTTTATCTTTACCTGACAACACAATTGTCAGCTTCTATTGGATTCTACTTTAAACCCAAAAGCTTAGAGTCTCCTTTTATAACCAATTTTCTCCTAGAAAATGTTATCCCATTCATGTACAAGAAATTAGGTATAAAAGATTGTCTGTTTTTCGGTTGACACTTGTTATAGGTTTAGTCAGTATATCTTTCAACCAATGCTGGGTTTCTCCTGCTGAAAAGTTGCCACAACCAAAGCATAGCCTGCTGGTCTCACATTTGTGTGGGCATGTTCAATGAAAAGCATGCATACTGTTATGCAGCGTGCATGATGCCAACACAACAAAAATGTGAAAGCTTCACTGTATTCATACACATTCTTTTTAAACAACACACAAGTGGTTTCAAAAGAAGGGCAATCATTCAAGGGGCTTGTTTCTTTTGTAGACACAACAAAATGAATTCAACAAGGTTTGAAGGTTGTGTGTATCGGCCCCAGTGATGTACTAACGGATGTTTTTTCATCCACTTTCATTCATTTCAATTGATCTAACAATCTACTACACCACAGCTGAAAACGGCAAACAATATCTTCTGTGTTTTATTTTGCTTAATTGTCTGGTGAATTCATTTGGTTGTGTCCACAACAAGTGGTTAGTGCTACGTTTTATATTGTTAAACAAGTAAACTTACTGTGTAAGTGGTGTAGCAGCACTTGCAATGCCTGTAGGTGTAACTAGACTTTCCAGATGCCGCCAACATAGCAAGCAAATATTCATCCCAAAAGAAGCTCAAAAAAAGTGGCACAACTTTTGTGGTGAATCCCATAACGAGAGAAAATTTAATAAATTTTCTCATCATTAAAAATAGTTTTCATTGTTCATTAAAATGCAATTTTAATGATAATAAAATAGGTAAAAAATTCTATATTGATTGGCAAAAATATGTGCAATTAAGAATGAAAGCACATACATAATTACTGTTGAACATACTCTCCAAGATAGTCTCCTCTCTGTTCATTGCACGTCTGCCAGTGAATAAGATTACTTGTTGACTCCCACAACATGCATTTGATTGTGACGCTCAACTACAAAGTCCTTGATGGAAGCCCTACTAGTATATGCAACATGCAATGAAAGAACTATATTCACAGCAGATGCAAACAAAACATAAGATGAGGCAGACAGCTAGAAAATTCTGCAAGCAACTGGGTGAAAAAGAAGCCAATATTCACTTGATGTAAAAGAAGATGGCAACTATGGCTATGATGCAGAAAACTGTTTAGATTTAGTTCTTCATCAGCCATATGTTTGCTTATTACCAAATATTTTTTTTTCAATTCCATGACTCCAATTACCACTAAACTAAATGAATACCTCATAAAATGTAGCAATAAATGCTGCCAAATTATAATAACATGACTACTACAAATAATAATTAGCACTTTTATGCTATAAATGCCTAAATTGTGATTGGAACTAGTTTTGATGTTTAGGTAATGCAACACTAACAGAAGTATTGAAAGTTGAGATAAAGCAGAAGCACTCACAGTGCTGCTTAAAAAGTGGTGTCATTCTATACAAGTTAAAAAAAAAAAAATATGGCAATACTGTCATGAAGGCTCTTAAAACAAGTATCCCCAGCACTTGATAAATTACGATCAATAACCTTCACATAACAGAGATCACAAAACAAGAGCATTGCACTAAAGGAGGAAGAAAAAACATATCTGATATACGTTACTTTTGCTACATGCCCCCTTAATGTTTGCCACCTACATGTTCTAAGTATAAATTTCCACACTGTCAGCAGAAGTCTGTTCCTCCATTCTACAGTCTTTAGGTGTTTAAATTAGTTTAATATGGCAGGCTTATTTTTATCTGCTGTGCCAACTTTTCCTGCACAGCACATGAGAACACTGACTGACTTATAAAACTGAATATTCAAAGCAAGCAGGGGTTGATATTTAATTGGAAAACTCCCTATCAGTTTAAAACACCCAGAGTTTTTTAATGAGTATGCAAGGCACTAAACACAAGCATATTTTATATTTCACCTTCATCAGATGTATTCATAGTAGCCAGGAGAGGTTGGAAGTCGATTCTACTAGCATCTCATATTGTGCAAATATTCAAAACTCACTGGATAAGTTAGCAGCATGTCTGAAAATCGATCACCGCAACTTAACTAATGATAGCAACAGACCTCATATGAATAACTTTAAATTTACATCTGCATGAACACTTCAGTTTAAGATTTAAAAAAAAAAAATCTAAACATACACAGGTCTCTAGTTCACTTCATCGAGCTTATCCTTAGCCAGGACAACAAAAATTCTATAATGGTCCACTAATTTTCTTTTTGCACTTGATCAGCTTTCTGGGTCATGCTTGAGCCATGGTATCAGATCTACTGAAGGGCAGCGGTGATAGGGAGGAAAAGAACTTATCATAAAAGAAGGCAAGACATGCAAATATGTGTTTGTACTTTTTTTTATAATTTATCCTAACCAATTCGCTCAACTTTCCGCTGCTAAAAAGAATAGAATCAAGAAAAAGAAACCTTGGCAGAAAATTTGGCATGCTCACATAACCTGCAACAGTCTTTCCATCTGAAATTTAGGCAGGAATTATTTTGCTCCACTGCCAACATTAACTCAATAATGCACAGGCACTGAGGGCAAATCTTGCTAGCTTATCGTAAATTGCGCACATTTATTGAAGAGTTACTGCTGTAATTGTCAGCATATAGCTTGTGGTGGTCTTTTCCGCTACGGATCCTTTAGCTTCAAAGCATCATTTTGACTTGTTTGCCTTCCGGCTGTTTTTCTCAAAAGCAAATCACAGCACTATAGTGCCAGCTGTTTTTCTCAAAAGCAAATCACAGCACTATAGTGCCGTTTCAACCATGACAATAAATGTTGCCCTCTTGGTTCTCACATTATTCATAGAAAATTCTTTAGCTGAAATAAAAACAAAAAATAAACTTTTACATGGTTCACAATAAGGCTTACTTCCATGTGAGCACTGCACATGTTTAGGAAAACACTAGCAAATTAATTAACGTTGAAAAAGTGCAAACTTAAGTTGGCTGCCATAGCACGGCTCAAAGTTTAAAAGCCCATTCAATGAACGCTAGAACACACAGCGCCTTATTGGCCTTTTCCTTGTGCTTCGTAGTAGCGTTGATCATCTGAATTGTGAGCTGGAACAATTGAATGCCAGAACAATCTTATCATAATTACAGAACTTATTAATTTTCAAATGTCTAAAACACAATTTTGTGAACCAAATTTATTTGTGTACCATTTTAGGTTGATGTAAGTAGAATGACAGAAACCCCAAGTGTAGCGTAGGCGCCAAAGACCACGCAATCATATTTTTTAACAGAAACGCAAATCCCGCGACCCGATATTGCATATAGCATTGCGTGCAGTACAAGCGTAGATGTAGCATCTTGTATTCCGAAACCTTCAGAAAGAACGCTGCAATCGGATAGCCCAAATCTGAGAATCAGAGAAGCGCACGAGCATCCGGTTTCAAGTGTAGCGCACTAGACATGCGCCACGCGCATTCATAAACTTGATAGAAGTACCTACCTGCAATGTCGTAGGCAAATGCCCTAAATATCGGGGAGAATTTGATGCAGTGGCCACACCAGTGATTGTAGAATTGTACAAGCCAAGCATTCTCCTTTCTGAGGATTACCTTATCGAAGTTCGTTGTGTTGAGGACCTGAAGCGGCATGGAATTATCGTACAAACTAACAGATGCAAGCGCGGAACTAACTCTGCCCAAAAGCAGCATTCCGGCTACCAGCACAAATGATAACTTAATACGACCACTCATTCCCAGGCGCCGCGACTTCACTAAACGCGCCAACAGCGTAAACTAATACTTCAAAATGTCCAAACTGCCGCGCTCAGGTGCTCCCATCAGCAAAAGGCAGCTAGCCCGAGAAGAAAGTCCATACGCTCACGCATTCAACATCGCAGAAGGCGCAGAGAGAAGGAAAGGGCGAAAGCAAAGGCGAAAGATAAAGCGAAATTGAAAGGTGAGAGCTGGTGAGAGCACGCTGCGATCTCTGCTTTCATTTACACGTCACGAAAACACTCATCAAATGATACCTCAATTTTGGTCAACATTATATGCAAACTAAAGAAATGTTTCAAAAACAACATTTCCTGTTGCTCCCGCTTACTAAAGATTCAAAAAATTTTGAACAAGGAAGGTCGCAGCTGAGATGTAGCCATAGGTAGCCAAAATATAGCCGAAAAGTTCGCAGTTTCGATTCACAAAAATGTGGTAGTGACGGTGTTTGCTGAAGTGCTTGACTATTCTTGCGATCGCGGGGCTCGTTTTTATTGCGTGCTATGGTGTTGGACACTTTCAACCTGAACGTTGGAGTGCTCGGCCATGTGGACAGCGGGAAGACGTCCCTGGCAAGATCCTTGAGCACGACGGCAAGCACGGCATGCTTCGACAAAAACCCGCAGAGTCAATCGCGCGGCATTACGCTCGACCTCGGTTTTTCGTCTTTTCAAGTGGAAGCCCCCGAGCACTTACAGAGTCATTGCCTGCATCTCCACTTCACCCTCGTCGACTGTCCTGGCCACGCTTCGCTCATACGTACAATTATCGGCGGTAAATTATTCTCGTTCGTTGGTAAAACCGCACGTAACGATACGTTTGGAGCACAGTCCTCAACGTCGAGGCTGAATCGCAGATAGTCAATTTACATGTACTAAACTGTACGGGCTACTGCTAAATATTCGAAATTTTTTACGAATGAAATTGTTAAAAAACAGTAAAGAACACATTAGCAAAACAAAGTAGCACAAGGGCTTTACTTTCTAAAAGACATATAAAATATGATCAATAAAAGCGTCTTAAAAAATGCTGGGAAGCATATTTCGTTACCTTCAGAACACTGAGCATTACACAAGCTGTTCAGCACTTCACTATCAAAATGCCCAATTTTCCATGCAAAGTATTGGGCCACATTGCCAAAGATTTTCGTCCAATGCTAAATTTTGATTAGATAGTCTGCTCCTGTTTTCTTTTTTTTTAATGCCGTTTCTGCCAGTGTGCAATAATGTAACTAATGCTGTGCTTGACAGTAAACTCCGAAAGGCCTGGGTACTGCGATATTGATATGTTCCACTTCCCACTGCCATACTTAAGCAAGGCATGTAGCTTTTGCAATGGTGCACTTGCAATGACTGTGGACAGAATGTCGCAGTCCTGCCCTGTACCTTGTTGTTCCTTTTCATTTAGTGCACAGAAAGTCAGCTGCAGACCATACGTTACCCTCTCACTCGATGTGATCCAAAACATAGGAAAACAATTGCATACAGACATCTGCATGCCTACTTTTGGTATGCTGATGTTTTTCATGTATAGCACTGAATAGATGCACCATGATGTCATGAGTATGACAGTTGGGCATGTTGGTAATGCATAACTGATCACGTAGAGCAAAAAAGTTTTTAATGCAGGACAAAAGAAGGGACAATGGCAAGTGCTCGTATTCGTCCATTCTCTTGTCCTTTGTCAAAAATTTTTTGTGCTCTGGGATCATATGTGATGACATGATTTGCAAAAACCTGTGTCATATGAAGCCACATTAAGTGCTTAATACAGCTATACATTTCTACCCCTGCGAACAGTCAATACTGGTGGAAGTATTTTAAAAGTATCTCAAGTGAATGCACATTTTATGACTTGCTAACAGGAAGTATTTAATTTATGGTACAAAAGATTGCCTGGGAAAGTATTCTTGAAATACCAGAGTGTTCGCAGAAGTATTTAAGATACACAGTATAATATTTCAGATATGTGCAAGTTTTCTTTTACCAAAAGGACAAGCCACTTTGTTATGATGCACTCCTTTGTACTGAATCCAGAATCATCCATAAAATTCAGTATTGTGATTGATTAGTTGGACCCTTTTATTGAAGGGATTCAAAAAGTGTTAGGACCACAGTGTGAGGAGGAGGGGGAAAGCATTCACTTCTCACTAGATTAGCATTTCTCTGTCATGTGCATCAATCGGGCTGTAATATTTAACAAATTGTTTGTTGCTTGGATGCTTTCCAGGACTTCTTCAAGCATTCAAAGGGTGTAGACCTTCATTTGGTACAAGAGAATGAGAAGTCTGGGACGTATCAACTTATGTACATTCTTACTTTCATGTGATTTAGTCGCTTCAGGGGGTCCTCAACTGGTTCACTATTTTTTGAAAGGCAATGAAGATGTTATCACCATTATTGCTCAAGTGCAGTGTCAAAGCATTAAAAATAATAACTTTTTAGCAACAAGACTTCATCAATGTTTTAAATAGAATGAATATTAATACTATTTAGGTGTGGTAAATTCATAACTGCAATGAGCTTTTTAGAGATGAACTGCTATCAAGTATATAATGTTCTTGCTCATTATGAGATTTTTTTAGGACAGTAACAGTGTGTGCCTTTTTGAAGCATCAATTAATTTGTAAGTGGGGCTAGATTCGTCTACTTTGAGCCAGTCACTCGAATTAGCTCTCTTGCAGCCAGCCACTTGAACAGTGTATGTTTTCCATCTGCTTCTAGGAGCCCAAATCATTGACTTGATGATGTTGGTGATAGATGTGACCAAGGGTATTCAAACACAAACAGCTGAGTGCCTTGTCTTGGGTGAAATAACCTGTGACCACATGCTCTTGGTTCTCAACAAGATTGACCTGCTTCCAGAAGCTGATAGAGACAAGCAAATTGACAAGGTTGTACTTCCTTTCTCACATCCTTCTTCTTTGACAAGAACTTTGTTGTTTGTCTCAGATACGTGCCACCACATACTACCTCTTGATAAACATTAGGAGCAAGTTGGTTGTATAGGTCTGTTCTTGTACCCTAACCTGCCACGGTGGTCTAGTGGTTATTGTGCTCGACTGCTTACCCAGCCATGCAATACTTTTGTAATCAAAAGTACTGATCCTTATATCATTCACATCTCCTAACTCCACAAGTTTTTTGTAGCATCTGAGCCCTTTGTAATCATGCTAGTTACAATCATGCAATTGTGTTTAATAGAGTATACAACAGAGGCATAACCAAGGGGTGGCACAGTGGGCACGTGCCCCCCCCCCCCCCCCCCCCTTTCCCGAAATTTTTTTTGCCATGGCATAAAGAGCGAAAAATGGCCATTTTTAGGGGGGCTCCCTCCTGAAATCAAGAATCAAGGTGGTCCCCCCCCCCCCCCCTGAAAAAATTTCTGGCTACATGCTTGTTACACAATTCATTACTATGCAATCTGTATTCACAGCAACAAAAATAAAAATATGCATGTAAAACAGCAACAAAGAATCAGTACAAATCAGGTACTATTCAGTGCATTGAAACACCAGAATAAAATGAGAGGACGTAACCCATGTCATCTCTTCTGGTAATAGGGAGAAAAGTGGCCAGGGACCAGGAAAAAGAAAGGTGATTAAAATAGAACCAGAATGTCAGTGTATTTTCTAGCCCTGGGTAATTTTATTCACTTTAGCTTTAATACAAACTAATAGTAAATTAGTTGGTAATCATGTCAGCTGATTTGCACCCTTTTTTTATTTTGTCAGATGACAAAAAGATTAAAAAAGACTCTGGAGAAGACCAAATTTGCCGATGCAGCTATTGTACCTGTGGCCGCTAATCCTGGTGGAGCTGAAGTAAGCAATCTACTGTGCATTACACTTTGATCTGTTTGTATGAATGTGTGCTTACGAAGGTGACATAGAACTAAAAGCATGTTGTATTACTGTAGATATAATATGAAAATGATGGCATTTAAAGTTATTGTTGGCACAAGCATAAAGTAACCTTAAAGGCACAGCTTTTGTGGCAACACACAAAGTTGTACAAAACAGTATCTTGTATAGTTCTGCATCATGTATAGTAAAAGCAAGAAAGTCAAAGGCAGCTGTCGATACAGCCAGATCTCAACACAATAAGCAATGATAAAGTAAACTATCAGACCAAATTAAATATTTGGCTAGCCATGCCTTATGATAATCGACATTGTACTTTTACAATGGAATGCGGGGTCTGGCATAGCAGGAGTAATAGTAAAGCTAACTCTGATATGGCCTAAACAAAATAAGTTATGAGTTTGTGTTATTATGCTTTATGTTAATGGGCATTCTACTAACTAAGCAGAGCAGAAAATGTGGATTCTGGCACACTTTGGACACTAGCAGGGCCAATGAGAAAAGTAGCACGTATACTCACACTCATCACATGCCTATGTACACATGCATGCTGGCTGCTGCACACATGCAGCTTGCTAAAATGCAAACACCTGGCAAGGTAAAGTGCCACATAGAAAAATATAAAATGTGGCACATGAAAAAAATATGAAATATGAAATGTGAAAATTATGAAATATGAAAAGTATGTAATGTCAAGTCTGAATTGGTAGGAAGGTCAGTGCACTGAATTAGGGCCTCCTCTATTTTTTCAATGCCAGCCAAATGCGCTCAATCCGGCCATTCTCCAAGCTCTCCTCTAGTCCTTTCCTGCTCTTGCTCATCCCCTTGCCTGTGCATGTGTTTTACAGTCATGGGAGAGAGAACCCATTATGTGGTGCCTCATGACGAAAATCATATGAAGTAACTTTTTGTTCAGTTGTGTATAGATCCATAGAGTGGCATCTTGCATTCTTCGTGTTCACAGTATTGGCGGTCATACTAGCTCTGTAAAAGATGAGGTATTTTGCGATAGCATGTCACCATTTGTGGCACTATGCGAGAAACCAATGGGGAAGCGTCACTGAAATGCTGCTGCAAGCGCTGACTTTAAGAGTGCTGTGAGGTGACGGTAGCATCGCTTCGAGCGACAAAGAAGGAGGACTAAAGAACAAATCTGACAGATTTATGGCATTGGAGAGGGAAACGCAGCTAATGCATCTCAGTGGGAAAGCACTCAGGTGCACATGACACACTGCATCACGACCATGGCACTGCATCACGACCACTTCCTGAACT